GACTTAAGGCAAAGCGGTCAACATGATATATAGCTGCGGCCTTTCTAAGACTTAATTTTGGGTCATTCTGGAGGGCCTGAAGGGCAAGAATAATCTTAGCTTCATTTGGAGACTCTGGCATATTGGATTGTTGAGAAATATCTGATTGAAAAGTGATAGTGTAGGTTGAGGGATTTTTGGAGCACTCGCTTGTCTGGAGCACTCGCTTATCATGCACGTTATAACATCTCACTTCAAGATGACCAAATAATGTGAAATAATTAAAAACTCATATTTATAAATGTTAATCCTAATATTATAATATTTATTATAAAACTAAGAAAATCTTTGAGAAAAGATATATAAATATATAAAACATATAACGTAGTTCATCACTAAGTCGGCCACATCACCTGCTCGGCCACTTTTCCCCACTCTCCATCTTCTAATCCTTACAATTTACCTAAAAACACATTCAATTGAATCCAAAAATATCATGATTCGATGCCTCGTCGATATCTTCACCCTCTGGACAAGTTCTTGCGTTGTGACCACTCTTGCGGCAAATGCCACAGAGCCTTGCACCCGTCTGGTGCCGTTTTGACGGACCCCCCTCCGCGCCTTCATCACGGCCTTCCTCCTTCACCACACCTTTTTCCACTAAAAGTCGACTGGCTTGCTCACCAGTAAGAGGCCCAGAATCTTGTAGCCGTGTTCTCTTGGCCCTTCGTCGCTTGGAAAGTGCCTCGTTGGCCTCTCGAAGTGCTTTGATCTCTCCGGTCAAAAGCGTCAGCCGGTGGTTGATACTTACTGTAGCCTTCGCTAGTTGGTCGACAGATGCCAAAATTGGCGTCGGGGAGCTCCCTTGATGCTTGCTTACTCGATCCTTGATCAGAGTTGACTGAGAAAGAGCTTCGGTGGCAGTTTTGGGCGTCTGAGAGATCCAAGGCAGGGGCAGAGCGTCAGTAGCCACCGGAGGAGTTGGCGTTCGTAATCTTACATCAAGCTTTGAAATCACCGTTTCTGGATTCAGCGGGACTAGGCCAGCCCCATGAAAGCTACTCTTAATGTTCTTGGCTGTAAAGACCGCCTCAAAGGTGGTTCTGAACGCGGGGAAGAAGTCGTCCTTGGTGATGTGCGTGATGCTGGCTCGAGCGAGGAACGAGATTTGACTGCCGTATGCCTTCTTCAACAGGCCGAAAATGCCGACGTCGAGTGGTTGAGTTAGATGAGATGAATGGCTTGGTAGGCAGAGTGGTATAACCTTGCTAGCCTTGCAGTATTCGTTAAATTCGGCGTTGATATGGCTCTCGTGCCCGTCAAGCACAAGCATCCGATACTCGCCCTTCTGACGCGATTTTGTTTGCCGATCAAAGTGCTTCAGCCATTCGAGACCTGTATCATGGTCAGTCCAGCCGTTGGGAGTCGTCTTGACGACCCAGGTGCTCGGAATGTGGCCGCTAGAGTACCAAGCGGCAAGATGGAATCGGCCCGCAACACAGAGGAAGGGCGGCACTGTATGACCATCCGCCGCAACGGCGCATATTGCTGTGACCCATTCCCTGTTACCAGGCTGGACCGCTTTTGGTTTATTAACTCGATCTGAGCGCGTGACGACCATCCTGGAGCCGATCATGCCCATCATGAAGCCGGTCTCGTCGAAGTTGTAGAAGTTGCTGTCCTGGACACCGTACTTCGCACGCATATTAGCTACCAGACGGAACCACGCGCTCAACACGTCAGGATCTTCTTGCAAGGCCCTCTGGTAGTCATACGGACGAGAAAAACGCGTGCAGAGCTCTGGTTGTCGTGCAATGAAGCGATCAGTCCAACACTTCCCGACGCGCCGCGCGTCACGCTTGAGCAGTAGCAGATTGGCCATATCTTCCACATCAGCCTTCCTAGGTGAAAAGTCTCTGGAATCCAGCTGCGATATGTATTGAACAATCGCATCCTCCTCGGCTATTGTCAAATTTGATTGACTGCTATGTGTATCATTCTTTGAAGGTCTTCCAGCAATTCTATCTGGCAAGGTCGTGCGCGGAATGCTGAACTGCTTTGCAAGATGTCTGATACTTAATTTTGGGTTTCGACGTTTTTCATCCATCGCAAGAACAATACGAGACTCAATTATAGGATCAGGCATGATTGTGGTGGAAGAAATCGCGCGTTGAAGATGGATGGGACGGAATTAGCAAAAGTGGCCGGGTAGGTGATGTGGCCGACTTAGTGATGAACTATGTTAGCTTTAGTCAACTGATTAGATAGTTTGTTATGTTTTTGTTGCGACTTGTCTCGGCAAGGTTGACATTTTTGTCCCGCATGCTTATCGTGCACGTTGCATGACGATGTAGAATAGAAATGTAGGGTGATTGATTGTAAGTTCGCTAGCAAGGCGCTCTCGGAATTCATGTCCACCGCTCAGCATTCCACTCGGAGAACGCCGTCTTTGCTAACAGGATATCTTCTGAGAAGTGTTGATATGGCCGACTTCGCTTGCTTGAATCATTAGTTACCTTAGTGGCGTCCATCGTCTCGGACTTCCGCGCTCGCTTGTTCGACACCAGCTGCGCCAACGGACGCCGAGGCGGCTTGAGTAGCAAAGCCCGTTCAAAGTCGATCACCACAACCCCGCTGGTCTCGGAGTTGAATAGCATGTTTGCAAGTCGCACATCTTTGTGTAACACGCCCTCCCGATGCATGGCTTTCAAGGACCGAATGGCCTCGTCTTCAAGCGACCTGTCCATGTCGCCAGTTCTCTGTGCTCTGTCGATGCTGCAGCCTCCCCAGGACAAAAATGTCATGTGCACCACGTAAACTCGGTGGTCATAGTAATAAGTCTTGTTCATCGAGCGAAGGTCAATGGCACCCAGGAAAACAGGCACGTGGACACCTTGGATTGGTTCGAGACGCTCGTAGACAGTAGCCTCGTGCTCGAGATCTTTGATGAAAGCCCGCACCGTACCTTTGCTGACAAAGGTATAGCCATACGCAAGAAGGGTCACTTGAAAAAGCACTCCTCGCGCACCACCTGTTCCCAAAGGCCTGATCCCGTCGTCGAGAGACTGTGCCAGCTGCTTCCGGAGTAGACGAAGCCACTCCTTGTGATTGACAGGATGATGTGCGCGGGCAGGAGCACAGCTCTTGCGGTGAAGTGTTACGTTTGGGCATTTTGGGTCAAGGAAGCCACCCTTGACCATCCCCAGAAGACATTTCTGCGTACAGTACTGCCGACCCTGCTCGCCGCCTCCTCCGCGCGGCCGTAACGCCAGTCGCTGGCTTCGCCTAGTTCCTTGTCTTGTATTTCGTCCAGTTGGCGTAGGCGTGTCCGGTGGAGCGGGAGGGAGCGTCGACTCATCATCAGATGATTCGTGCCTGTCGTCCTTTCTCGACGACCTCTCGCCAATCTGGCACTCAGCAGTTCGGCGTGTTCTTTTCCGGGGCAAGCGGGGCGTCCGGTCGATGCCCTTATAGGTGGTAGGTTCTTGACTAGGCGAGTAGTCCGATGACGCCGATCGTTCATTTTCTGGAATAGAGCGTAATGTCGATTCAAAGTCCTCAGTCCATGTCTTCAAGTTCCCCATAGCTCTTTCGCGCTCCTCCTGCCCATTCTCCCGTCGTTCTCCTGGCGAGCCGAGAGCCATGAGAGTGAACGCAAGATATTGACCGACGGCCGAACAGATATGGAGGTTGTTTGGATGAGCTGACACCTCCGGACCAGGCTCCGCTAGATGATAGTACAGCGTCCCAGGCTCGTCCCAGTCAATCTTGAGAAACACGATGGCTTCGCCGGTAGTCAAAAGCCCATATCCAAGTCCACTCTCGATCATGTAATGGTATGTCTGTGTGATAGCAGATGCCGTTAGCTTCTCCGCGTGGTACTGGAAGCGCGCGTCAGGGTTTATAGAAGTTGGAATCGTCTTTCGGTTCACAACTTCTTTATGGATGTCCATGGCGCGGAGGCCGAGACGAAGATACGGAGCGGTCAACTTGTGAGGCGGTTTATACTCGGAAACGTAAACCATGGTGCGCCGAGAAGAGGGGGTATTATCAGATCGATAGACGCAGATTTGATCCGGGCGTAGCTGGTTGAGGTCTCTTCGATGGTCCGGCGTCCGCGGTGGTGTAGTTGGGGTCTCGGTCTCCCTGTCCACGACTTCCTCGGCAATGTCGCTGAGGGCATGTGGATGGTTCTCAAACACGACGCCATCTCCGACCTGAAAGGCCCTTCTAACCTCTTCCACCAATTTGAGTTGTTGCATGATGGCTCTGACCGGATCCTCCACGCTATTATGCAGAAAATACTCGAGCGTCTTCTCGTCTGCTATCGGCCGTTGGGAGATCCTGTTTCCCAAGCCAGCCAGGAAAGCTCGGTCCTCGAAGACGCGACGGTCGGTAGGGAATGAATCGTAGAGTGTGCCGAAGATAAGCTTTTGTTGATCGAGGAAGTCGGGCCACGGCCTCAGATTTTTGGGACACCACTTGTCACGCGGATTTGTGATAGAACCCTTGGAGGTTAAATTTGGGTCTGATTCAATGGCAAATCGGGAGAAAACGGAGGTATGGCAGGCTACAATGTACTCATCGAGTGTCGTAAGTCGTGTTTGTTCCTCTGACGCTTCGGCGCGTTGCTGTTCCCGCTCAGCACGCTGCTGTTCTTGCTCGGCGCGCTGCTGTTCTCGCTCGGCGCGCTGCCGTTCCTCTTGTCGTTCTCTCTCAGCTTCCTCGGCGCGTTGTTGTTCTCGCTCGGCGCGTTGCTGTTCTCGCTCGGCGCGCTGCCGTTCCTCTTGTCGTTCTCTCTCAGCTTCCTCGGCGCGTTGTCGCTCCTCATTCGCACGCTTCTCGGCTTCTCGTAAGAGCCTCGTCAATTCTTCTACACTCAACGTTCCATCCATGGTATGTGGGATTGATGTTGTGGTGAAGATCGATTTC